TCCTCATCCTCCTCCTCGTCATCCAGCCCCTCCACGTATCCCTCGGCGTCGGAATCCGGCGCTTCCTTGTCATCCCGGTCGTATCCGTCCAGGTACGTCAGCTGTGGCAGCAGCTTGAAGACGTTTTCTCTGTAATCGTTCAAGTTGGTCACCTCACAGTTGAACAGGTCTAAGCTCTTCAGGTTTTCCAACTTTTTCTGGACGGGGGAGGGTGGGGAAAAAAAAAAAAAAAAATTGGAATTCGGAAGGTTTGCTGGCGGAGGAATTCCCTCCAAAGGCAAGGATCCCACGGGGAATGCGCTCAAGGGATTCCCGCGGGTGTTTTGGGCTCCCTGGAAATGGCAGGCAGGAAAACAAATAAATGGAATCTCTGTAGAAAAATATCCCAAACTGCCTGATCTTGGGATAAACCAACTCCTCACCCGCTTTCACAATCCCGCTGGAATTTCCACCCCTAATCCAGGAAAAACCCGCTCGGAAAAATCCCAATTCCATTTGGGATTTGGGATGGGAAAGGGTCTCCCTGGAGTCCTGCAGCTCCCAAATCCAAAGGAATAACTGACAGCCAGGGAATCATCCCAAAGGAATTCTTGCAGATGGAAGAAGGAATGGAGTTTTTGGACACAAGGACTTTGCTAAGGGAGGTTTGAAAAATGGAATTGTTTTTCCTTAGATTATGGAAAATGAAAAAAACACATGGAAATGGAATTTAATTCCTGAGGGTTTTGTGGAATTGTTTTTTTGGGAAGAAACCTGCACTGCCCACAGAACTTGGAAATCCTAAAAAGAAAATCCAAAGGAATGGAGTATAAGAAATATCAATTCTTAGGGAATATCCACTCAGGAAAAAAAGCCTGGAAATGGGAGAACTGGGAAAACCGGGATAGCTGGGAGCACTTCCAGGCTTCTCCATGAGTTTAACAGCTCTGCCTTTTCCGTGTGCTGCAGGAAAAGGAGATCCGGGAAGGAGCTGCTCCTGGAAGGATTTTAATGGGAATTATTGTGGATCCGGAGCCCGTGGAATCCTGGGAAGCTGCGGTGATTCCCGCCGGGAATGGGGGAGCCCGGCCCGGCAGCCACTAGAGGGAAGCAGCGGCTCACCGGGAACAGGGACAGGGATTTGGGATGCAGCCCGGATCCCGGGATTGGCTGGGATTTCGGGAAGGAATGAGGGGGAAAAGCCTTGGCACAGATCCCAGGAGTGACATTCCCTGGAAGTGCCCAAGGCCAGGCTTGGAGCAACCTGGGATAGAGGAAGAATTCCATTCCTGGGAGCAAAACCAACCCCTCAGGACTTGGGATGCAGGGAGCAGGAATAACTGGGATTTTAAGGATCTGACACAGATTCCAGGAGTGACATTCCCTGGAAGTGCCCAGGGCCGGGTTGGGAGCAAGCTGAGATAGAAGAAGGAATTCCAAGGGTTTGGAAGGGGGTGAATCCCATTCCTGGGAGCAAAGCCAACCCCTCAGGATTTGGGATGCAGGGAGCAGGAATAACTGGGATTTTGGGAAGGATCTAGCACAGATCCCAGGAGTGACATTCCCTGGAAGTGCCCAAGGCCAGGCCTGGAGCAACCTGGGATAAAGGAAGGAATTCCAAAGGGTTTGGAAGGGGGTGAATCCCATTCCTGGGAGCAATCCCGACTCACCAGAGGTTCTATTGTCCCGAGATCTTTAATTTTGTTGCCGCTTAGGTTTAGGTGCGTGAGGTTCGGACACTTCTCTGCCAACACTTCCAGCCCTCCTGAGATTCTGTTGTCGCTCAGCTCGAGCTGCAAAGGCCCCCCCAAAAAAAAAAAAAAAATCCTCAAAAATCCCATCCCATTCCAGAAGGGGAAAAAAAGGAAAGGTCAGGCCGGGGGAAAAGCGGGATTTACCTTCTTGAGTTTGTTTAACTTTGGTAAGTTTGCGACTGAGGTTAAGCCGACGTTGATTGTGCTGAGGAATTCCAGCTCCTCAAACTCATCCGTGAGGCCCTCGATTTTCCCTTCGTACGACCTGCAGTTGTCCAGAACGAGCTCTTTCACCTGGAAAGGCAAGAAAATCGGGGGGAAAAACACGTGGGATTCCAGGGAATTGGTAAGAGCCGGGTGGTTTTCAGCAGGGGTTGTGCTGAGGAGAAAAGCCAAGATCGAGGCTCCTGATCCCGCACGGAATTCCCAAAATGAACTCCCAGACTACTCGCTGGGGTGAAATTGAGGTAGAAAAACCCCACAAAAATATGGAAAATTCATGGATCTTTTCCCTCAGTGGTATCAGGATTCTCCAGAGGATCCATTTGGGGATAATAAAGAAGTTTCTTCTCTCATGTGAGGGGAAAAAACCCCCAAAATGAACTCCCAAACTACTCACTGGGGTGAAATTGAGGTAGAAACCCCCTCAAAGTAAGGAAAATTCATGGATCTTTTCCCTCAATGGTATCAGGATTCTCCAGAGGATCCATTTGGGATAAATAAAGAAGTTTTTTCCCCTCATGTGAGGGGTAAAAACCCCAAAATTCCCAAAATAAATTCCTAAGTTACTCACTGGGGTGAAATTTAGACAGAAATCCCCTCAAAGTAAAGGAAATTCGTGGATCTTTCCCCTCAAAGGTGTTTAATTACCAAGATTCTCCAAAGGACCCATATGGGATAAATAAATTTTTTCCTCATGTGAGGAAAAAAAAAAAAATAAAGTCCCAAAATAAATTCCTAAATTTCTCATTGGGTTGTAATTTAGGTGGAAAATTCGTGGATCTTTTCCCTCAATGCTGTTTAATTATCAGGACTCTCCAGAGGATCCACTTGGGATAAATAAAGAATTTTTTCCCCTCGTGATCTTCACGCACACTCGGAATTCCCACCCCCAAAAAAAAAGTTGGAAAAATTGCAGTGGAGGCAAATCCTCCTTATCTGTGTCCCTGCTCCCTTATCTCATCCCAGAACTCCTGGACACGGAGCCAGGAGGGTTTGGGATCCTCACCAGGAAGCTCCAGGTGTTTTTTGCCTCAGAGGAATTTGGGAATTCCTCACTGGAATTTTGGGAGCTGAGGGGAATGGGATTAGAGGGAAGGGAATGCCTGGAGCTCACACTGAGGGACAAACAGCACAGCCCTGATCCAGGAGCTGGGATATCCCTGGAAAACAGGGAATTGGGCACAAAACCAGTGGATCAAACAAAAATTCCCTCAGGTGTGGAGCAGAGATTTAAGGAAGAGCTGGAAATAATCTTGGATTCCAAGGAAAACCCTTTAGCACAACGGAAAATGACCCAACTGCCTTTTTTTCCCCCTTTTAATTTGCTTTTTCAAAAAAATCCTGGAATATTTTGGGTTGGAGGGGACTTTAAGGATCATCCCATTCCAACCTCTCCACGGAATTTTTTTAGGGAAGGTTTTTTTTTCCTCCCCATTTTTCAGGAAGTTTGCTGCACAAATGCCACATTCCCTCCTTCCCTGTTTCCAGCACTGGGCAAAGGCACAGATCCAACAAATCCATGGAAAAAGCTCCTGGAATCCAAGAGGCCACGTCTGGAAAGCCTGGATGAGTCCAGAGATAGTTTGGGAAGAGCAGAGCACATTCCCAACCCTTCCCAAGAGCAACATTGTCCTGGTGGTAACTCCCTGGAAGCAACAGCATTCCAAACAAAATTCCAGGATGGCTCCATGTCCTAAGAATCCCCAAGGAAATCCAGGTGTGCCAAAGGAGGAGGAAGTGGATTTGTGGGATTTTTCCCAACACCCCACAGCTCTCTGCCTTCCGTGGCACATTCCCTTTCCGTAAAATCTGGGAATTTCAAGGAGGAGAAGCTTTGGGAGAAGCTTTCCACAGCACTCCCAACAGGGAATTTTTCCAAGGATTTGCCTCCCCCAAAATTCTAACCAGAGGCGAGAAAATTCCCTGAATTTCTCATTCTAATCCCACCTGGAATGTGACCAACAAAAGCCTGGATGAGCTTCCTACTCATTCCTGGGATTACTGGAGCTGCTCCGATGAGCCAATCCCTGCTCCAAGATCATCCCAAAATCCCCAAGCTCGAGAACCTAATTTAAATTAATTAATTAATTTAATTCCAGCTGCAATTCCAAGCTCTCCGTGATCCAACCCCACAGCACTTCCAGGCGATCCCAATCCCGGTGGAAAACAGGGAAGGAATCCATGGAATATCTCCCAGCAGCTGCTCTGGGTCCACAGCTCCGGAGCTCTTCCAGGTTTTCCAGAGCCTTTGGAATTCTGCCCAGGGCAGGGAGGGCAGCAGGTGCCATGGCCCGTGGCCACTGGGGATTCCCATTCCATGGGATTCCCCTTCCAGGGGGATCCTCACCTGCTCCTGCTGCTCAGGAATGAGGAGCCGACCTGGAGCAGGAGCTGATTCCACAGGGAAGGGAGAATTCCCAAGGTTTTCCATTCCCAAGGTTTTCCATTCCCTAGGATAAGCAGTGGATGGAATTCCTTCCCCAAACCCCACGGGATTTGGGATATGGATACAGCCCCTCCAGGGTTTTTTTGGGAATATGCTCTTTCACACCAGCTCATCCCAACTGGAATTCCCACCTGGAATCAGAGGATCCTTGGAAAACACCACTGAGGCACGGAATCCAGCCACCAGTCCAATCCCACCACTTTTTCCAGGATTAAACCTTTCCTGGCAATACCAAATTCCCACTGGGAATATCTGAGATAGAACAAATTAATTTCCAACACTGAGTCACCCACGAGCATCTCCTGGCCGGGAATGTGCTGGGAAGAGAATCCCAAAATTCCCAGGGGAGGGAGGACAGTGCTGGGAAACAGCCAAGGAACGTGACCCAATTCCCAGGAAATCCAGCAGCCCAATTCCATGGAAATCCTGGGAATCATCCAGCCCAGAGAATCCCACAGCAGAGGCAGGGAAGGGACTGGATGGGATTCACAGGGATACTGGGATTGGGATCAGAATTCCATCAGCACTGCGGCTTCCAGGGCTCCCTGGGAATTTTCCAGGATTTCTCCAAGCTCCAGTTTATGGGAATTCCCCCCTCTCCAGGGAATCCTGTTCCCTTCAGCAGTTCCCAGGTGGATCTGAGGAATCCAGGATTCCTGAGGAAACCCCGGATCCTTGGGAACAGGCTCCATTCCTGCCCCTTTCACACCAGCTCATCCAGCTGGAATCCCAAACCAGAATCAGAGAATCCTTGGAAAACACTTGGAAAAATTAATGGAAGGCATCAATCCAAACTTTCTGGGATTAAACCTTTCCTGGAAACACCAAATTCCCATCCCAGGAAGCTCCAACCGGATGCTCCAAACTCATCCCGGCTTTCCCAAAATTCCGACCAAAATTCCAACCAAAATTCTGATTTTTATTCCTACCAATCCTGGCTTTAAAATTCTCAATATTCTCATTCTTGTTTTTTTTTTTTACCCCCCTGGAAATTTTAATTCCAGAGGGAAAAATATGTGGAAAATTCGCTTTAAAATTAAAAACAGATTTAAACCAGGTTTTTTTCCCTCTCAATTGTTTTTCCCATTTTTTCCACTTTTCTGTTGGATTTGGCTTTTGCCTCCTGAGAATTCCCTTTTTGGGGGGAAATTCCAAAGGTTCTGATGGAATTTGGGGCTGATCAAGGAATTTTCTCCCACATTAAATCAAATTTTCAGCCTAATTTTAAACCCCTACCCGCCCCTGCTTCCCAATATTTGGATTTTCCGACGGGAATGAGCAGGAAAGTGCCAAAATCTGCCCAGGTGAACACTTCCTGAAGGAAATCGTCAGCAATTAATTAATTATAATTAAAATTATATTAATGAGATAAATAAAATCATTATTTTGCTGTGATTCGTAAATTTAATGGGATAAAAAGTGGGGAAAAAAACCCCCTGCCTGAACATCCAAAAATTCCCAATTTTCCAGTGCTAAAACCCACATTTTTCCTGGTACTGAATTAATACGAAAAATAAAGGGAAAATTTAAAAATCAAACAACAAAAATGAGATATTGAGGAAGGAATTTCTCCACAGAATCCACCTGAGGATACTTTTAGGATGTTTTATTAATCAGGATGTGACTTTCTGGGATTATCCAATGGAAAAACCCAGAATTCCATGGAACAAAACAGGAGATCCAGGTGGAAAATATCCCAGAAAAGCTCAGGAAAATGCACAAAACCCCATCCACATCCAAGGATTTAATTCTGATTTCAGGAGAAATGAAATCAAAAAGCAGCACAGAATTTAAGGAAATTCCCAAAACTCGGGGGGATTTTCCCAGGATTTCTTGATATTCCACATTAAATTGGGGAATAATACGGACAAACATTCAAAAGTAAAGGAAACAATTCCCAAACTCATCCTGCCCACTCAAAACTTCCTAAAATCCAGGAATAAATGACTTTGGCTATCACTATTCCTTCCAAATCCCCGTTCCAGAGAGTGAAATTAGCAGGATTTTCCTTTAATATTTTAAAGGAACAAAATCCATCCCACAAACTTCATTCCTTAAAAAACACGTGCACACAGCTCGGAACACAACAACATTCCCAACTGGAATTTCCACCTCTCTGCCTAAAAAAAACCTGGAAAATCGGGATTTAGAACATTTTGGGAGGATAAAGGTACCAAATTCCCTGAAAATTCCAAGGAAAACCAAGCAGTGAAAGGAAATTATCCCGATTTTCCAGCTCCCTGCTGCCCATTCCCAGCCCTGAGGAGCAGGGAACTCCCTCCAGCTCCGAGTTTTTCCAACTTTTTTTTTTTTTTTTTGCGTGAGGCAAAAGTGAGCGGAAACAGCACAAAAACCAAGCATGGAAAAGAGGAGGAAAATGAGTTTATCCCTTTCGCAGGCTGTTTTTAAAACAGCGCTTAAAATGGGGAAGAAACCTCCAGCGATGAGGGCGGTGAGGCGAAACAGGGGCAAAACTGAGCGAAATAAGAAAACTACTTTAAAAAATCGCGAAAAAAAAATCAGGGAAAATCAGGAAAAAAAAGAAAAAAAAAAAAAATGAAAAGGAGCAAAACACTTGGCAAGCCCAAGGCTGCCTCCCCACAGGGCCCTGCCCAGGAAGGAGGCGGATTCCCCGCTCCGCGCTCCTCACCCGGGGGAACCGCGGGGCTCCTCGCGGTGCTCTCCCCCCTTCGTCCCTCCTTGAAAATTCACAACAAGCCAATTTTTTAAAAAGCGCTCTTTTTTTATTTGTGTTATTTGTTTGTTTGATTTTTTTTTTCTTTTTTTTTTTTTTTTACCCCCCAACGCGGCCCTCACGAAATCTCCTCCCGCCCCGCGGCCGGCGACAAAATGGCAGCGCTGCCCGTCATGTCGGGAGGGCTCCGCCGCAACCTCCGCAGCGCCTCAGCCCCGGCGCCAGCGGGGCTCCCTCACGGCCCCGCGGGGCCGCCCGCGGCCGAGGCAGCAGCAGCGGCGGCGGCGGCGGGAGGAGGAGGAGGAGGAGGTGGAGGAGGAGGCGGCGGCCGTGAGGGGAAGGCGGGGAGGGGGGGGCAGCACAGAACATGGCGCCGCGTCCTACTTGCGCTGCGGCGCTGCCCCGCTCGCCTCACGGAACCCCCCTCAGCCATGGCGGTTGCTCGCCGTTGAGTCCCCCCGCCTTTCCCTCACGCCGCCCTCCTCCTCCTCTTCCTCCTCCTGCTCGCCCAGGAGTTTTTAAACTTTAAAGCGCAGCTTCCGCCGCTCCGCGCGCCCGCCTTTGTCCCCCCCCC